GCGAATATTGTTGATGGACGTTTCTACATTAAGCACAACGGATATAACAGAGCATGCCCTGGAAACTCTCAAGCAGAGTAAGATAAAAAACGTTATACTAGTTGGTCGGCGTGGTCCTTTGCAAGTAAGCATACGATTTATATAGTTTACAAGATTAAATATTAAGCTTTATTACTGATGTACAAACTGTTTCACTTATCTAGATATCTTTTACTGCAAAAGAGCTTCGAGAGATGTTTCAGCTACCGAATACTCGATTTCATACCGATGTTGACTTATTAAAGGAAGAATTCTCCAATCACGCTGGGTACATATCAACAATTCGTTCTCTTAAAAGATTGACTCAGATTCTCGAAAAGGGTATCTACAATGTTGAGGGCGATAAGTCTTGGACTCTCAAATTTTTGCGAAGCCCAACCGCCTTTGTTGCTGACAATGATTCTCAAACACAATTTGTGAAGGCAGCGGAATTTAGCGTGAATAGACTCGAGGGGGACGTCCGTTCGGCTGTTGCAGTACCTACTGGAGAAGTAGAGACCATAGAAACCGGTTTAGTAATCAAGAGTGTTGGTTATAGAAGTCTTCCAGTTGAGGGTATTCCGTTTGATAAAGACCGTGGCTTGGTTTATAATGAGAGAGGGAAAATCACAGACTCGAATGGGGAAGAGGTGAGATTGAATTGGAATAGCTCATTGTTCTGGAAATTTGTTGAAATTAATCCTATTGCCTTCAATCGCTTTGTTGACAAGTTACCGGGAATGTATGTCGCAGGCTGGCTGAAACGCGGAGCTACGGGCGTAATAGCAGCGACAATGTACGACGCGTTTGAAACTGCAGAGGTCATTATTTCAGATCTCCAGTCCAATAAGCCCATGTTGAATGGTGTTGCCAGTAGCAAAAAACCAGGCGCGACAGCAATACTGCCATTGCTTGCTCAGAGAGGCATTAGGACAGTATCCTACAAGGATTGGAAGAAGATAGAGGCTAGAGAAAGCGAGCTTGGGCAACAAAAGGGCAAACCGCGAGAAAAATTAGCTAAAATTGAGGAAGTCCTAAAAATATTGGACGAATGATCACTGGGCAAAGCTTTAATAAAAATGTTTGTGCATTACAGTTGAGAGCTTTCTTCGTACTGTGTAATTCTAAACATTTCTCACTAACGTATAAAGAAACCAACAAGCAATTAGACATTGCTCTAGTTATCGTGTAATAGGGTATGCCTTCCCCCTCTTGAGCTTGCCCCTTTTTGGATCCATTGTTCCCTCGCGAAATGCCAACACATTAAAGTTCAAGCATGGTATTACATTTGGAGGAACTAACGACAGAATGTCAAAATTCTGTTCTTCGCGATATACAAAAATACTGGCTGTATCTGTACTTCGACTATTAGAAGACAGTTTCTCCTCGTTTTTAGATATGGCATTTATATCATACTTTTTCTGTCCCCTTTTGTCTTTATCCTTGTCATTACTATCCTCGCTGTTCACTTCTAAAGCTTCTCTCTCAGACTTCTTTACTTTTTCCTTTCTATATTTCTCCTTATTCTTTTCCCCATAATCTTTTTGTCTATCTCTATTTATATCTCTATCTCTATCTCTATCTCTTTCTTTCTCCCTCCCTTTTTCTTTTCCTCTTCCCTCTCTTCCCTTCTCCCTTCCTCTCACCATCTCTCTTAATCTCTCCTTTTCCCTTACTCTTTCCCTTACCCTTTCCATTACCCTCTTTTTTGCTTTCTCTCTGTCCCTTACTCTGTCTCTGTCCCTCTCTCTTTCCCTCTCTCTCCCTCTCTCCCTCTCTTTATACTTATCCTTGTCTTTCGTTTTTTCTTTGCTCATGCGGCCGCTCGCAAGCCGCATTTGAAGTTCGACTGCCGCCGCCTTTCTCCTTTCGAAACGACGTGTTCGTGTAGAAATTTCTTGTCTTTGTTTGATACTAACGTCTTCATTTTGGTTTGGGCTTGCTATTTTAAGTTTAGGTGACGTTCTTTTGTGGTGGCGGCTCGCAATAGAAGTATAAGAGCCATTTGTGCTTCTGCTAGATATATTATGAGTGCTCAAGGCAGACGATACCCAATTCCGCCTTTTGCTCGTTTGCAATTCATCATCATACTCGTAATTTGTTATCTCTACGAAAATATCAAATGGCGGGTTTAATTTTAGAATGACGCAATATAAAACTGTTCATTAAAGATCTTACTTTGTCTTTTATTGGGCATTTGATCCGATATTATCTGTATAGACCCATCGAAGCAATTTGCGCAAACCCAACTTTGTCCCTTTTTGTGTAAGCGTACCGTGTAGTCAGGAATTTTAGGTAAATGACATGTTTGGTGATAAGACGTATGACAAGCGTCACATGTGACAAGGGAGTTCATATAGAAATCAGAACCAGCACATACGCAACAAACGGTGGCGTCGTCAATTTTCCGTATACTTTGTTGATATATGGTATTAGATTCGCCCAAGCTAGGTGTTGTATCTGACAAGCGGTTTGCCCAACCATTGCATGTATAATCTTCATACCACATGTCCTCGTCACCGTGATCGTCTCCTTCGTAATTTGCATCATAATTCTTTAAAACTCTCGCAAGCTCATCCTCCCCATTCTTGCCCTCCGCATGCTTGCAATACCCATTAGACTTGCCATAGTATCCATTTTGTCTTCTCGTGCGAATGGATTCTCCAATTGTGGAATTTCTATTTGGGCTGTCGTCCGAATCGTCCACAATTACTACTGGGTCATTTTCACAGTCACTATCGCGTACTTCTGCGCCTACAACGGTCTCAACATCTTTATCTTCTGTAAGCCCCCCGTCACCCATGTCACTTGAGTCGTCTATTATAATAGGTCCTTCTGGTTGAGTAGCGCTAGGCGACGTTCCCAGGTTCCCACGGAGAGGTGATAAGCTTCGGCTCCTGCTTCCGGTCGGCGAGAGTGATCCTGTACCCGCGGAAGACAAACTGGATTTCGACCTTGAAGACAGAGTTGTCGGGGGTGATAATGATGACATCCAAGAAGTGAAGAAGCTAAATTTCGATTTCTGTAAAATGACAAGGACGACGTTAACAAGGTGAATTTCAGCGCGAGCAACAAGCTCATTACTTACCGACAACGTCTGGCTACGAGTATGACGAGAACTGCGGAACGTTGGACTCCGGCTTCGGCGCGTTATTGTCATGCTTTGAACCGTTTTGGAGGGGGAAAGGAGAGAATTTGAATTTTTTTTCAAAAGAGTATCAAGACGTTTGGGTTTTATACCCGTGAATCTCTCCTTGTAAGACATCACGTATTACAGGCGGAATCAGGTGACTACAGCCATGAACACGTCCTGATGAAGTGATGATCATCATGCCGATCATTGTAATTCACTCTGTTCGAAGTTGGAGTAGCATAGCCCCTGTAATCTTTATTCAACCTCTAGGATAGAAAGGTCTGTAAGTTAACGAACTTTAATGGTCAAACATTAACAAGGCGTTATCTATATGCTTACTCACAAACCATTAAGTGATTTGGCTAGTATTAAATTTAGGGGAAAAAAAACCGACCAAAGCAATCAATCAGAAAATGATAATAGGATAACATTATAACTGTTCAAGAACACGCTTACGCGGCCATCTCGTGCCATTATGATGTTTCGATAGACCCATTAGCAGTTGACCTTCTCTCCGGCCATCTCTTCTGTAGTAATAGTATACTCGATCTCATGTTTGTTCGGTCCCAGTTACTTTTAGGTAATTTTACTCCTAACAATGTAAAAAACCCGTATACGTTGCACTAAAATGTTTCCGCATTAATAAAGTGATACTGCGGAATACTTACGGTTGTCTAGTTTGAATCTCAAAGTATATGTTCAATACTCAAACAACTGATAATTGAATATGCCAAAGCACGAGTTCCTGACGCCGAAGGCTATAGCCAACAGAATAAAGGTACCGTTGTCGACTGAACTGGCTTGTCGCATATTTTCAGTTTTGGGCGATCTGATCTAATCGTTGAATTGTTCGGTCGTCTATTAGGCAAAGGGCCTTCAAAAGCTACGTTGGTACTGTCAGATGTGTCAGAAACAGTGCCGTGATGAGAACGGTTTCCAATGTCATATACGTTCGGAATCTCACCAACGTCAAATGGGTTTGTTTTCTGAGAGTCCAGAGATGTATATGCAAGGATACTCAAAGGAATTTCTAGACGATTTTATAAAGTTGCTTTCGCGCAGGTATTACCTTTATTGTTTGCGAAAAAATTTCGATATTTTGAAAATTCTAACATTCAATATAGAAGTATGCCCAAATCCTCACCGAGTCGCCTTCTCCGTAACTTCGTTAAAGATGGGGAACAAAGCGAGTTCATGCGAATCTCGTATATCAAGAGTACATATCTGATAGGCATCATTTGCACATGAATGCCACTCAGTGGGAGACTCTAACAGACTTCGTCAAATATCTTGGGAAGCAAGGTATTTGTGCTGTCGACGAGACGTCGAAAGGATGGTTTATAGCTTGGATTGATAACAGCCCGAAAGCGCTTGCGCGACAGGTAAGCCTTTCCGGTTTCTGTTTATTTTACTTTTGAATATAATCCAGTAAAGCTTGATGCAACGTTGATGAAAATAATTAGGAAGCAATATTGAAAAAAGAACGCCAAGAACAATTAGACGAAGAGCAGTCACGAAGAATGATTGATGAACAGGTCGAGAGAGCAACAAAAGAAGCTGCCGCTTCTGGCATGTTGGAGAAGGTAAGAGGAATATATTGATGATACGCATCGTTAAATAATCTCACATTGATATCATTTTGAATTCTCCACTTCCAATCAGCTCTCCGAAAATTATACAGAACTAAAACGAGAAGCAGAAGAAGAGAAAATAACGCTAAACATCTCTGCTACAATCTCTTCTACTCCAGCATCCACAATTACCGCTTCCTCCAACTCTTCTACAACTCCAACTTCTACATCTGCCACACCGTCGCTTTCTTTGCAGAAACAAACACAGAAGAAATCACTTAGTGCGCTAATCAAAGAATCTAACATACAACCGCACAAGCCCCAGCCTCCGAAAGAAAAGGAACAGAGAAAACTTACAGCCATGGAACAGATAATTCTTGAGGAGACAGAGAGGAAGAAGAGGTTGGCAGATAGAGCGATTAATGGGAAAAAAGGAGAATGGAGAAGAGATGAAGGACGAGATATAGAAAGGAGGAACAAACGGAAAGATGAAGGACGAGATATGGAAAATAGAAAGAAGAGGAGGGATGAGCATAGAGATAGAGACAGGGATAGAGATAGAGACAGGGACAAGGGCAGGGATTGGAGTAGGGATAGAGATAGAGAGAGAGGTAGGGATAAAGACGGAGATAGAGACAAAGATCGAAGAGGTGATTTAAAGGAAAGACGATTGTTGGGGTAATTGTGGTAGTAATTGCATGTTATCTAAACATTCCCGAAACGTTAGCAGGTTGAAGAGTCATATAGTAACTCTTTTAAACGAGACTATATATCATTCAAAAATAGTGTCATATGTTTAGACTGGATAACGTGAATTACTGTACCTCATACCGATGGTCATGACTCTGCATGTTAGTACTGTTAAGACTTGCTTTCTATCAAAGTAAATCTATGCAGATGTGATCACATTATTATTATCGTACGATTACTAAATTTCAATGATTTTCGTATTGATTAATACTAAGTGTCAATGTCAGAGAACCTTTTATTTGTAAAAGCAGGCAGGCCATTGTCGGCATTTTGGTCTTCATTCCAATTATGGATGAATTGTGTTTTACTTTATTTTTTTCAGTTTATAATTAACTGATAAATTAGACAATTGATCTTCCAAACGCAAATATCGGTTTTGATATCTTTTCTACAAACTAACTCAACAGAACACAATAGCCGAACGAGTATTAGGCACATGTTAAATTACTTATGCCATGTTACGTGCCTTACGAGCATTTATTATATCTGGTTTATCCTTCTTCCCAAAAATTCCATTAACAATACTCAGATTTGCTTCTTTTTCCTTATTCATATCTGTAATAAGTGGATCAAACTACAGAAAGGAATAGTGAGTAAGTATTCGCCACGACAATAGCTTCCTCATCCTTATTGGATTGTCATAGAGAAACTGATAAAGCCTACCTTCCGTTTCACGCCCTTCATTTTAGGTTCTCCTTTTAATGGTTTATCAAATCTTCCAAGGCTTGCTGTTGCAGTTTTACTTATTGATATCTTTTTCGTTAACTCTTCCTTCTTCGCCAATTTTTGGTCAGATCCCCTAGTAGCACCCCTTGCGGCTTCCTCCAGGTTTCTCATATGTCTCGTTGCATTCTTACGAACCCTTTCTTTCTTGTCCGCTCTCCTCTTCGCAAATTGATCTTCGTAAGGATCTTAGGAAAGGAACATTAAAGTTAATAGCGGAATTCAATCTTAAATAAATCATGTCTGAAAAGGAAGGAAAGGAAGAAAAAACTTTTTCTTCTATTATACCGGCATTCTGAGGAACAGGTATCAACCAATTGTTTATTCCATCATCGTTCGCACCCTTATATCCCCATCGGGGCACCCAGTCACCAGTAGCCTCATCAAAGACTTTACGTGACTTCTTGCGATTCTGTATGCCTTTAAGTTTGGCAAATTTCTCCCATCTTGTCAATGGTTTCGGCTTCGGAACCTGGAAGAAGCAAATGTGTAAGTAACTGTCTAAATTAAAGAACGAGGAACAAAAGCGTAAATAACTATAATTTGTCAAACATGATTAATTAACAAATAGAATGACGAAAGTGTGTACGCAAAATCCTGAAAACGAAATGATTTTAACGTCAGTAACGTTACTGGGTTCCCATACCGGTTTCTCTCGGGGTATTTTTGTAATTTGATCTGGCAACTCTGCAAAAGTACCATCTTCCGTTGAATCTGTCGGTAATTTAAATATTTCGTTTATTATCAATTGTGTTCCGTCTCTTGAGTATTCTTTTAAATATTCGTCGGTTTTCTGCCTAATAAAAAAATTTTAAAAATGCTATCCGAATCTGCTAAATAGAATCTTGAACACTTGTATTCTACCTTAATCGATCTTCGTCCAAACTGTTTATATCAAACCCTGCAAGCAATGCCAAGTCAAATTCTAAAGGGACTGCTTTTTCAACTGTTAAGCTTTGCCTGAAAGTTTGTAATATATGAGTTCAATATAATATGAGGAAGGTCACATAACCTAAACGACTTACTGTTTAACTTCCAATTGTGTGGAAACATCCATTTTAAAATATCGGTAGTGTCCTGATAGCTGTATTGTGAGAATGAAAAAGTATGTGTATTTAAAATCTGATTGGCTTCATGTGACATTATAATTATCAAAAAGTGAGTGACCAAAACAGTGTAAATCTTAGTTACCGTAATGAACCGAGATCAACAGCAAGGATCTAGCACGTCGAGCTCGACGCAACCGACGAACAAACCAGCACCGCAAATGTCATACCTATGTGCTGGTACAGTCTTACAGTCCTGACAGAATAGTTTTATGAGACAGCAGCACGATTGCTTCGAGACCATTTTTATCAACTTAGAAAGAATGGAAAACTAACGTAGTTGTTTTTATTTACAGACTGCGGTACGGCAAATGAGATAAAACCCAAAGAACCGATTCGATGTAAAGAATGCGGTCATAGGATAATGTACAAAATGCGGACTAGAAGAAGTAAGAAATGTGTACGCTGCTGTTCACCATGGATAACCGGATATTCAATAACTCACTTTATTCGCAGTGGTTCAGTTCGAAGCTCGATAATATCATTACAGTGCAAATAAACTAGATCATCCAAGATGACAACAGTCAATTACAGTAGGTAAACATTTTCAGAAGAATTTTTTTCATATACACAGTCAATCTCGTTAATCTGAAGTGGGTGGATGTCTCTTAACCGTCGTCCTATCACACTCTCTAATACCGACATTAATTCTCTCTTATATTCTTTCACCCGTCTCAAACTGGATTTGCGACATCTATAAACTCCTATTAGTAAGGTATAAGTTTTGAGAACATTGCATATATTAATGTATATTCTGTATCTTTATCTCTTCTATTAGAATGGAATAAACATGATTATTGCTATGGTAAATGGGCTGATTGTAACAAACTAGTCAAAGTGAATATTTTACCATATGGTCACAAGGTGGATGGTGTGTATGGCTGTAAATTGGCCAATGTGACTGATGATGTTTTGAAAAGGCTTTGACACAACATAAACGGTGGTGCTCATGCATAACTTATGGATTTGTTAACATAAAGTTGATACAAGATGAATATGTGAGCTAAAATTGCTGGTGGCTGATCTTTTTTAGATTGGCCCATGTCTGAATATTCGTGAAGATAATATCTTCTCCGAATTTAACATTTAATTACAATTCTGCCATCTTTTGCTCTGTTTCTAACATATTATATTCTAATTTCATAATTATTGTTTCAAAATGTGTTTCTAATTGTTATAAAATGTATGCTTCGTACTTTTGCTCTTTTTCTTTTGTGTTTTCTATGATTACATTAATCTGTTGTTCAATTTTTGCTTTGCCTCTTTTTGCCAACTTTTTCAAGTTGTAGATTACTTTTTTTTTTTCTTCTTTTTTTAACTGCTTTTTTAAATCCCGAGATTCTAACATTAATTAATAATAATATTAACTTAATTATCTCTACATTCTTTATTTCCTATACCAAGAAGTATTTCTTTTGTGTCATTCGTTAGATGTCAAAAGATTTAAGTTCAACGCCTGCAATGCCCTCTTCGTCTCGTCAAGCTTCGCCAACTCTTGCGCAACACGTCCAATATAAATAGATGCCATTTTCGTTTGTTTTGTTTTCGCTGGGAGTAATGTAGTTATCTTAGATGAAAATAATGCTATTACAGTATGCGTCAAAGGTCTAGTGGAGTGAATCTGAAATGTTATGCGGGATTATTAAAATCAGCCGTTCATGTTATTCTATGGACAAACTTTTTGAGACAATATCGAGGTGGAGATATAAGAATTTTTGAAAATGAATATAAGCGAGATTGTTAAAATTCTTTATGATCCGGATAAAGGATCAGAAGCTATACGTAGGGGTCTTAAGATGCTTCAGGAAAGTAAACGAGTTGCTTTTTCAATGACCTCATGCAAAAAAGCACGAGCTTTAGCAAACAAAGCTTCCAAACTGCAAAAAACAGATGGCTCACATGTTTTATCACGAGTTTATTTTGGCCAAAGGATGGAAAGCAACGGCAGGATGACTTTGCTGATATTAATGGTACTTGGAGTGGTCTTGGTTTATACAAGTACTGTAGAAACTGGCATCTTTTTTTGAAATTTTCAATCATTTTGACGCAGTTATAGAAATAATACAGGAGTGCATGCTGAAACTTTTGCACAAATGTTTTATCGAGTTTGTGATTGCCATATCGTATTATTTCTCTCTATAATAGTTAAAAAACTGGCATTTTCAAAGAACCAAATCGTGATCTCATTCGTGCTGAACTATATGAATTGCAACACTATTAAATAAGGAACAAGTACAAGGAGAAAAAATTACTTCTTATTATTATTTTTTGAAATAAATAATATCAAAAATTTTCACAAATTCTATATAATAACGGGAAGAATTACAATAAATTTATTAAGAATAAGAAGTAAATTTCTGAATTCCTAATAATTCGAATTTTAAAAAAACATATTCTAAAAGTACCGAAAAATAACAAATTTATGACATTTTTCTTAATGGAGAACATGATGAAGAAACTGACAATAATGTAACGAAACTCCAATACCAATTACAAGGCCACGAAGCATTAAAATTTATGATTCGACAAGAGAAAGCCGGCAGCTATTTAGAAACTATAAATGGTTGGAGAAATTTATTCACGAAAAGACAACAAACAACATAGCAGAACACACAACTCTTAGCTAGGAATGATGTCAAACCTTTTACGGGTTATTAGTATAACATCTATAGTATTTGCTCAATAAAGTTGGTGATGGCGACACGTGAACGTTATAAACGTTACACATGATCAAATTCTAATTCACGGGTAGCGTGGCTCGGACAATAATCTCTTTTCAAATCAATGCTTGCAAGCCTGTATAAACCGATTCGTGAGCCAAAAATAGCATCGCGGTTAAGACAAATAACTAGCCTGAAGTATAGTGTTTGGTACTCTAATACCATATCCTGGTGGGTAATGTGAACTTTTGCCCAGTATTCTATTATATCACGTAGCCGATTCTTATGAAATATACATGTCTATTTTTGCAAGTAACGGTTTGACGCGCAGAGCACAGCCAGCCAGTTCGCTACATTACCAAAGACCGGCCAATTCATCGCTTAACCTAGCTCATTTCTCTCTCAGAAGATCAAGGTCAAATTTAATAAAGGTTAAACACTTAGACGGTTGCAATTAATACTTAGCAGGGATTGTTTCTTTCCACGGACAGACATGTTTTATCATTTGTGCTTAGTCCACGCTACTTCAGCTCTGATCAACAAACCACAGAAAGGAAAAAATCAGCTTCACAAGAGGCCAAGGAGATAGTACAAAAAGTGAGTCGAGTCAGCAAACTTATTCGAGTATCGTCTTTATTGTTACTGTTGAATTAAGATCTAATCTTGGTATTCCAGTCGAAGGATATTCCAGTAAAGGAAAACATACGCACACTTCCCAATTTTCTCACGCTTACAAGGTTGTTAGTAAGTCCAGTCATTGGATATCTGATACTAAACGAAAACTATAAAGTTGCTCTTGCCACACTCTGTTACGCTGGATTTACCGATGTGGTGGGTTAACATGAATTTCGTGATAATGGTAGATACTTGGTCTTTTTACTGATTTTTCTAACACGTCCATCCGGCGGCAAGCTTGATGGTTATATAGCGCGTCAATATAATATGCGCACGACGATTGGGACAATCATAGATCCTGCTGCTGATAAGATGTTGATGACAATTATGACTGTCAGTCTGGCTGCTAAGGGGTTACTACCAAGTGAGTCTGCCGGAAAGATTAATCAACTCTTGTACAATTCAATATGTTGACCAATTCTGTTTACATCAATCAGCCCCATTAGCTATCATTATTTTAGCCCGAGATGCAGGATTAGTTATTTCATTTTTTTACGATCGCTTCATCACTTTGCCTCCACCAGTATGCCATTATGCGCTTCGTTTATCATTTCTATAACGACCCGCTTTGTTCTAATGCTGTTGTAAATATCAAATAGAAAACATTATTACGATATTTCGATATTTCGATTTCGTCGGCTGAGGTCAGACCCACTTTGATAAGCAAGGTAACAACGGCGTAATTGTCATAGTGCACTTCTGGAATTGCGCTCTTCGAATTAATTTTACTTGGATACATATCAGGTCAATACAGCACTTCAATTAGCTCTCGTGGGAGTCACTTTATGCACACCAGCCTTCAACTTGCCAATTACGCTTGGATTAACCGCATTACAGTAAGCTGATCATACAATTGATGTATCTGCAATTTCATCACTTATTGCTAAAGTCTTTGTTACAGATATACCGTCGCCGCGACAACAATATGGTCCGGATTGAGTTACGTCTTCTCAAAGGATGTGATCAGAGTTCGCAAACCACCCGGTAACGATTCGGATGATCCAGTCAACTGATATTTGTATACACAATGGATCCCAGTACAGTTGTAAAGTTTCTCCAATGTCTATTTTGACATATACGAAAATTTCTTTCATAATAAGAATACCTTTCATTAGCGCAATCGCATTTAGTCGACATATAATCTGCTGGTCTAGTCAACTTGGTTGACTCAAACAGAATGGCCAAAAAAAAAAACAAAACATGTACAGGAGATCAAATCATACTGACACGTCCTAAACCTCGTAACAATTTATTCATACTATATTCCCTAACAATTATGGTTTTCGAAGTAAATATAAATTCAGTGCATCAAGAACAGAAGTCTTTTTAATGTTATTTTATTCAAAAGAGAAAGAAAACCGCTATTGAAGAAACAGAATATCTTAATAAAATGGCCACTAATTTTAATAATTCTCGCAGGCATATATGCCGTTATAGGTGGGTGATATGTCATCGGTATCGTAGAAGTATCGTGAAGTACTTTCGAATATGACCTTGTCACTAGCAAGGACTTTGCTGATACTTCAGGTGTTATATCGATATCGTATTGATATATGTTTCGAAGACAAGTATAAACCGTTGGTTGATAGTTTGAGCGCTTTCCCACAGACGATCTACCTCGAAGCAGTTTACACGAACGTTCCAGGCCGCCCCACGTTTCCGAAGTTGGGACGGGTAACTAACTCGTTTGCTTTATGGGTTTCCTCCCATAACACACGTAACTACGCAGTCAGGGCAGAATTCGCTATGATGCACAGTATATTTCCTCTGATGATCCAATCAAATTTAAAGTTTCGGTATTAGTATGTAGTTTGATCACTTTCACTTCCTGCAATGTCTTCTAAAGGCTCAGGCAGACCCAAAAAATCGAAAGCAAAGCGTTCGGGACGTAATAAGCATGTGACTAAGACAAAAGTTGTAGTTCGTCGATTGCCGCCGAACCTTCCCGAAGAATTGTTCAAGGAAAGCGTTAAGAAATGGGCCAACGAAGAGACTACTGATTGGTTCAGGTTTCATAAAGGCAGAATAAGCAAAAGGTGCCGTTTCCTTTAGACTTTAATGACCGAAATTTGGCTTTCGGCGTTGCTACGTTGATGTGTTTACTTTGTTGTTCGTAACAAACTTGTCTGTTAATGAATAGCAAAAATAAGGAAGCAATATTCTCACGAGCGTATTTTCACTTTAAACTTATGGAAGACGTGCTTGAATTTCATCGCAATTATGATAATCACCTGTTCGTTGATAATAGAGGTTGGTACATAGACCATGTCTCCCGACTTGATGGAGGATAATGTTCTCACCTTATTGGTTTTCGAATTAGGAAACGAGACGAGATGTGTGGTAGAGTTTGCTCCCTATCAAAAACTACCAAAGGAACGCAAGAAACCCGATCCACGCCAGGGATCGATTGAAACTGGTAAGTATAAATTGGATGAGTCTGTTGCTATAACAGACAAGAATCAAACACTCTGGCATTCTAACTGATATTGTCACCACAAATTTGATATTTATTCCAATAGATCCAGATTATCTTGCCTTTCTCGAATTGTTAAAAGCTGAGGAAATTAAAGAACCTTCTAATGATTCCGGTTTTACTCAGCTTGAGAAACTGGAATCGCGGTTATCTAACATTACTACGACCGCCCCTGAGAAACCTAAATCTACTCCATTGCTGGATTATCTCCGTCTTCAGAAATCCAAACCGTCATCTCCAAAAAGCGGCAGACAGGCGCCGATTGCGATACTCGCTCCTCCAGCTGGCTCAAAGAATTCAGCAAAAAATAAGGCACAAGGAAGACCTAATGTTAGGGACGGCAACAAAAAGGAGGGATCCTTGCGGAAGAGAGAGAGGGATAGACGAGATAGGGATAAGAAGAAAAAGGAAAGAGAGGAGAAAAGGAAAGAGAAAGAGAAAGAGAGGAAGGCCAAAGAAAAAGAAAAGGAGAAGGAAAGAGAGAAGAACAAAGAAAAAGATAAAAAGGATAAAGAGGAACAAAGTCCATCTTCGAGAACGTCAGAAGAGACCAAGGTAGATGCAAAGGTTGACAAGAAGTCATCCGTAAAGATTTCCATTCAACAGCGACAGAAAGATCGAATACGCTCAATTATCCAAAAACCAGCATCCGCGTCCAAGTCTTCTGACCCAGTGGAAACCAATTCTAACAAGGATACGTCGAATTTCTCGATAAATACTACTAATGTGGCTTCTGGTTCAACTTCAACGTCTAACGTCCCAGCATCTCCCTCAAATAAACAGAAATCAAACTCTACTCCTACAACGCCTACAGCTCCAATGTCTCCGACACGCGATTATCATGGCTCGCATCATAATCGTAGAAGAGATAGAGATCGTGACAAGAGACATAGCCTGGAAGCGAGACCAGTGATCAAGATATTGTCGAAGTCTAGCAATACAAATAAGGAGGGAACTAACTCGTCTACAGCTGCGACCAATGTTCCAACTGGTTCTAGCAATTCTACAGCTTCTAACACTGGAGATGCAGCTAAAACAACGTCAAATACACCTTCTCAGCCAGAAACTAGTGTACAACCAGCACACCACTCTTCTGGTAATGGACAACGTAGGGGTTATTATGCTAGAAGAGGGAGATGGTAAACCGTGTGAACTGAGCGTTAGCGACTGAGAGAAGGAAATGACTCCGACGATCAGAACTTCCTAGTCAGATACTATGTACAACCTGCACATGGACCACTTGGCTCATCATTCTCTTGCATGATGATAAACGAGGTAATATACCAGGAGAGAAATATGGCGATGAGGCGATCATGTGGCATGGGGCAATCGACGGGAGATGATGGAAAGAGGTCGGAAACTTGAGGTTGTAAGATAGTCAAGCTGATTGATCTTTATAACTGTTACGTCATACACTGTTGGTTAACAGCTATTTGACTTATATACAATTTCGTTCTTAGTATTTATTCTGTCTTTTAGTAATATCTAAGTTATATGCTATTGAAAGCTTACCAATTTCATTAAACGATTTCAAATAGTGTTCGAAAATGACCCTCAATCCACCAAAAGAAAACGTTGAATGCACAGGGATTTGTATAAAGGCAAGCCCTGAGAATGATAATGTTGTCTGAAAGACACGATGATTCCAGAGTCCATAGCAGTCGTGTTCGGCAGTAAAAAAAGCACTTTAGTATTTGAAACGCGAGACAGGTTGACTCCATAATTCTAAAAATTTTAATATCGAAATTACGCGAGCAATCGTGAAGAAGAATTAAGCATTACTATTAACTGCAATAGGTGATCTGTAAATTGCTGACATTTACGTCCTTGGTTTTGCGTATTTCTTATTTACCAAAGAGAACCGTCGGCGTTCATACATAGAGTAATAGAGAGGCGTTCCTTGTTCTTTTTCCTTCTGAAAGACGCGTCGTCGCAATATTTATCTGGCTTTATAAATTCGTTCTAAGGGATAAATTGACAATTTTCTTGTAACTGGACGACTTGCACTTGATTGACTGAGCCAGCTTCACCATGAAGTTTTCCTAGGCAGTTTCCATTTCGTTCTCTAAATTTATAAATAGGAATTATCACATCACTCAAAATGGTTCTATGTTGGTAAATTAAGACAAATGCAAGCTCGTGCTCTGGAAATTTAGACGTTGCATAAGGGACCATTTATGATACATTTTAAAATTCGAGAATTCAAATTTTTACTTGTCAGTCAGCGCGCCTTATAGATTGAGGAGTTTGCATTTCAGTTGTTTTTTTTCCCATAACTATAGTTTTGTATGAACATTCATAAAGAATACCGTCGTCGGACAGCCAAATTATGTTGAAGGTGTCTCTTAAATTGTTCGTCATAACTTTTAATACGCGTAATCGTTTAGAGAAATACATCATTATGTCGAGACTCACAAATTTATTGCAATTGTAGAAAATGGAAGTTGCATGAATTTATCCTATTTGTCAACACTGCTGTTCTAATAAGTTTGTCAAATTCAACATTGTTCGGACTTCTTGTTCTGTTGCATTCCCATGGGCTGCCCACCGTATCCGACAATCAGGATCAATGAGAAAGGCATAGCCGCGATGAACATTTGTCATGTGAAGAGCTTTCCTAATGAACTCGATATCTTCCGAAACGATCACATACGAGTTCTGAATTACAAATCGAGAAATTAGTTCAGCAGAAATGAAATCAATGCATACTCAACAATACTCACGTGGCGAGCCATTGGTGTGTTGCTTCTAAGGTAAGGCATGGATAGTTTCAAAATTAATTTATTAATGAACTTGTGCAGCATGTTTAACTACAAATTAATTCATATACCCGTAAATTATATATGGAGCGTCTCAATGTTTGACAGTATCTTTCTGCCTACCTCAACAAGGCCAATGTTGGGCTTGTTCGAAAATGTTTTCAAGAAAGGATCGGTAAATGAATGCAATTGTTGCTACAGTAAACAATCAGTAATTTAGTCGACATTCTACTAATACAGTTTTGTTAAAGCGTAGAAGTAAAACCGCGATATTAATGAAGACACATCCCAATTTGGATAAAAAATATAGGATCAGACTATTGTGGATAGCTTCATCATTACTCCACAATAGCGATGATTTACATACCTCTCCAAACCTATTGAAGCAACCAACAAGCAGAGATATTTTGCCTCTGAGAAGACTTGTAGTGTCTACATTAGCTTTTGACAAGGTGCTACCTTTTACATTAGGCATGTACAGGGCTTTCTTGAATCAAGAGAAACGTAAGTTCATACAACATTCACCCTAAATATACAACGACATTAAAAATACTACTTACATCAATTTGTATAAGTTTATCATCCGCATTCCATACCTTTTCACCTTCGTTTCTTAATTCATGGAAATCCTTCCAATATGACACTTTGAATTCTGCTATTCTGTGGAAGTTAAACATACAAACGTCTTGTTAACTTATGCCCAGGTTTACGATACTGTCGAACAAATCTGCAAATTCTGTCCCAGAAGAACAGCCTGGTTTTTTTTTTCATACAATTTCTCTCTCGTTTCAGCATTTGCAGCCGGATCAAGTAGTCTTTTTGATCTTTCTAATAGACTTGGTTTGACATGAACGGGTTTATTGAGATCGGGTCTTTCTTTCACACCGAATTGAATTGGTTTCTTAAACGCTCGGACATGCTCAGGTTTTGATGAATTATTTAATGCCGCCGTTGAGAATGATCGTGTAAAAATTATGTTTGAAAAGAAGGCTCTAAGCCTAAAAGATGATGTGAGTACTCGAGACATGGCTATTTTTTGGATATATTAATATAGAAAATAATTCAGATACTTTTTTCCGGCACTTTTATGGTCGTACAGCATATGTTCACATCAATTAATATGGTGCGATCTTCATAAAGCGTCAAAAGTCACATGGGGCAGACTGCAACAAAACCAGACAAAGTGAACATTTGATTATGTGACATAAATGAGAAGCTGGTTGTGATGTGGCTGTAAATTGACCAAGTAATAACAGTGCTCCATTCATAACTTATAGACTTGTTAATTTTAATACTAATACTCACTTTATCATACCAGAATGTGAGGAATATAAACCATAACAGGATTAATATTAAGCTTCACACCTTAAGATCACTGGCGCGTTTTACAATGGAGACTATTCAATTGAAGTACTCAAAGAATTATCGTTGGACAGCTTCCAATATACTGAGCCAAAAAAGACACGGATCATTGGAAGAACATTGCTTGCTCTCAGGAAAGCAGTACAATCGTTACAGGACTACTATGTTATATGTGCACCTCGGCAGCACTATTACTATTGTTGTACCAGTGAAATTTCCCTACATTGCTTCCTTCAAGTTGGTTGATGGCCAATGTGAGGAAGTGTCATTTGACTATGAAGAAAAACTAGCTGGAGGTAAATTCGTTTATATCATCCGAGTGGCTGCTAGGAAGGACATTCCAGAACGACTGCTTGTCAAGTTTGTGACAAGTTATGGTTTGGACATTCATCAGTTTTGTGCAGAAAGGGGTTTTGCTCCAAAACTCTATGGACATCAGAATATCAACAGTGATTGGAAAATGGTCGTTATGGAGTATCTTCCAGACTATAAAATGATAGCAGATCCTCCACGTACTAGAAATACAGCAAAGAACCTTAATAGTCACTGGACATTGGGATTGACTTACTAAACAAGAGTAACTTAAGAAGGTAACTTATGCCAGTGTATTTCGGTTACTTTACAATTATTATTCTTGAAAGTTCCATGTCATAGATCACAAAAATTATTTTTGGATTGTGAAGATCAAAACGAACAAAGAAATGAAAATAAGAAGTTCTAGCTCTCCAGCCAGAAGTTTCAGTAGTACCCAGTCAAGTATTCCACGACAAACACCAGATTTGGTAACAGACAATGATGAAATTGAGCAGGTGCAGATGTCAGAAGAGGATTTTAATAAGTTCACAGAGGCGTTCAAAAACTTGAAGATAGCAAAAAATGGGTATTAACATCTGGAAAGGTTGTCGAAGATGAGTTATACAAGTTTGGCATGAGATGTAATTATGAACAGTAAGTACTGGCTGTTTTTAAAATCACATTATTATAGATCCTAAGGCATTAACATGTCAAAAGTCTTTGTCATTCTTTCATAATCGATCCATATGACAGAAATTTTGTTGAAGAAAATGTTTTCACCCCATCTGAACTCAAGGAAATCCATACATATAGATCAAAACAACTTCCGAATATTCCCCAAGATTTGTTAGAATATCTTAGTAGCTAAATTGATCTATTTCTAGCATCACCATTATTTCTAATTTTAATCTATTATTATTATTATCCTGTGACATACTGCAATATTTGCTGTCCATGTCACCCTTCGGTACTTACAATCAACTGCGTACCGTAGTCGGCTTTGGGGTCGGTGATTTGTTGTTCGTCGAAATCCGTGAAAACTTCCGCCCACTTCTTTCCTTCCCCTATTAATTTCCGGTGGCCATACGTTGATACTGTTCCAATTCCGATGTTGATCTTGGCCCATACGATCCGAGGAATTCGGGGAGAAACATTATTGACTTTTTCCTCCATCGTGCTTGATTGTGATGTAATTTTACAACAGCAGATGTGGAATCAAAGTAGTGTATTAATATCCGGTAGCCATACGCTGATACTGTTCCAATTCCGATGTTGATCTTTGGAAATGTTGGTGACCCATACGATCCGAGGAATTCGTGGAGAAACATTATTAACCTTTTCCTCCATCGTGCTTGATTGTGATGTAATTTTACAACAGCAGATGTGGAATCAAAATAGTGTATTAATTTCCGGTGGCCATACGCTGATACTGTTCCAATTCCGATGTTGATCTTTGGAAATGTTGGTGACCCATACGATTCGCAGGAATTCGGGGAGAAACAATATTGATTTTTTCCTCCATCGTGCTTGATTGTGATGTAATTTTACAACAGCAGATGTGGAATCAAAGTAGTGTATTATGATGAATTCTAGACAATAATACTACTGTATCAAGCAAATGGAAGTTCCAAGCCTTGTTGGATGATTGTCCTTATCCTTAACTGTGTGGCGGGAGCGTAACTCCACTTTGGAGTGCGGCTGTGCGGCTACGCCGCACGGCCACGAAAAACTCCTGAATCCACCCCAATCCGACTTTTGCTCATCTGTCAGACGGGCCCTGTCATCATCGAAACGAAAAAGTGGTTCGGGGTGAGAAATTTGAGATCCATGATGTTGTATCTGTGAAAACTGTTGTTTCCCTCCCTTGATTTCATTTGTTAGTGCCCTGGCTTCATCAAAGGCAAAAATGACATGGAGAGACAGAAGAAATTTTCTGCAGAAATAGTTTACAAATTCCGTTTCACAATCCAGTCAAAACCTTTAATGAGTCGTAGTAGTCGGAGTAGTCGGAGTGCAATATGAGACCACTCCTTCTGCAGTTCTTCCATCCGGGTTTTAATCCCAAGCCAAAACCGGTGATCTTGCTGATTCAAATCTTTTGCAATAATTGATCGTTCAGGGTAACCACCTGATTGTGGATCTCGTAGACAACAATAGTCACATACACAGAGTTTCCTGTTCTGTATAGAAGTGACAATTTCCCAGACGTTGATGCTTGCACAAGAACAAAGTATGCAAAATAGTATTTATCACGGTCCCAGCTTTGTAAGCATTGTGCAGCATGCTTTAGAAAAGCCTTAATCAGTCCCGGTCTTTATATTCGCGATTGAAAGCATGCCGAACTGCAACTGTTTCTTCTGCGGAAAACCTGAGATCTAAATTCATTTGAATAACTGGATAGTTATAGGGAGCATAAGCACGAAGAAAATCAAGAACTAGCCGGATAAAATATACTTACATTCCGTTTCTGTTCGCATGTCTAGCTCATTCCCGATTTGAAACAATGAAGTCAAAGATAAAACAAAAGAAAAAAGTGCGAGACAGGAAATGTTAAAAGTGGGACCGCAACAGCATCGATTTTTTCCCTCACCGTCGCTCCTACGCTATTTAACCCAAATGTATCGTATCTTACTTATTTGCCTTTTAAACGAGTTACGTAAAACATAACCTTGCTACGACTCTGCCCTATGTCTCAACGCCAACGCATGTAATGTATTTAAACTATTTTCCATATAACCTCTAAGCTCTATTCTATACTCCTCCCGATGCACGTTTGTAATGCATTCCAACTATTCCCTCTCCACTTTAATTACTGCTACGAACTCTGTAATGTCTACGCAGCTCTGCCCCAACCAGCACTTTGCGCCCTGAAGGGTAACGCCCTCTCTCTTGCAATATAGCAGTAACAGTATTCAAACTCTTCTTCCCGTTGCTTCGCTATCCTCCCAATAAACGTGTCGCTTACCTTTGCCAGCGTTTCAATATATTCCTTATAGCAGCGTCGCCCGTTTATACTTTTTGGTTACACGAACATGTGATGCGCCGAATCAATATTCTTGTTCTGTAGAGATGGAGGAACAAAGCACAGGCCATAGTATTTTTAAGTCTCATGCCAAAAGTTGAGATATGGAGAGACAGGATCACTACTCTCAGCAATAGCCAAGGTGAGATTATCCCAAGCTGGGTATATACTTCTTTGAAGGCACGACAAAGAAGACTTCTTTACGTGTGAGTTTGGGTTCGATGTCTATTGTGGTAAATCGAATCTGTAAATGGACAAAGTGCGTCATCTCCGCCAATAAATTCATGTATGAATTTCCCCACGATCTGACAGTATAGTCTCTATTCCATTTCGGCACCTGTACCAAGAAATTCTCAGCATCATCGCGAATTTTATAATTATATTCGGCTATGTCCTCGACACGGTGGTAGAACGCGGCGCAATAACCGCCATCATACATCACCATTATTTCTTAGTGGTACCACAGTACAGCCGTACCGCCGAGCTCGAGCTCAAAAGCAACACTGCTTTGCAATTCGGTAGTGTTTTAGGTGCCCATTGCAGTGAGCACTTATGATTTTTCAAAAGTTTAAATAAAATATAAATAAATAATTATTCTTTTGCAACATTATTGATTAAATACAAAGCGCCTGCGCTAAAAAAGTATTAGTGAACTATCAAAGATTCTATCGTTGTCCTTATACTCTGCGAACTGGCGGAATTTGCAATAAAGGCTGTTATCGGCTTGAAGGGTGTAATAGTAAATTCATTGGAAGTCTCCTGCGCGTGTACCTTGTAAAGGATGTGGTGAGTTGACGTTCTCTGTGTTTCGTGCATGTAGAGATCATTCTGACAAGTATCGGTTTAAAGATTATTATCAACGAACAAAAATCACCCGGAACATATCACCACGACAAAAGAGTAAGCATTATATTTTCGAAACTTACTATGAAGTAGCTCACAATGCGGGGCCACTCAAAAATCCGTCTTACATTAAAAAAAAAAAATTATTTTTTGTCTGATGACAAAAAAAATGTTCGCAAGTAGGTTTTTACCGAGTTTAACCGTTTCCAGACAACTGTCACCGGCGTAACCAGCGACACCAGATTTTCACAATTTCATAACTTTTTTGTTGGATTTTTTTGAAAGTATATTATCGGTTAGAATCTGACAAGAAAAATTTGTTTGTTTTTTTTTCTAGTGACGCGGTGACAAATATGAAGAAGTAATCAAGAAAGAAGCATATATTGGCCAAAAATCATAAAAAGGTGTCACCGCGTTTGTCACCAGCCAAGTTTTTCGCTAGTGACGCGGTGGCAAACATTTTGACATGGTAAAGCCATGCGCTCTTTTGCCACTCCCGCACATTATAATTAATTGAAGACATAAAAAATATGATTAATGACTGCAGCTTCAATACAGAATCTAGCGCACCTTATTGGCAACATATGCACAAAAAATTGAATATGTTCGATAGTAAAGTTACGAATTTACCTATGACCAAATTCTATTCTACGAAAAACGGTAAAATTGGATTATGCGATTCGAATATTTACTTAAAAGATCGATAAAAATTAATCCACGTATAAATTCACAAATTTTAAAGTGCAAAGGAAGAGTATCAGATTCGTAAAGTGTTACCCGAATGTCTTGTCAACGAGAGTAAAAGAACAGTCGACAAGCTATTCACGAAATTGAGGGCTGCCGTATACACCTCTTCTTCGTTGAGAATTCGAATTCCGAGTCTATAGTCATCGACTACCTTAATTTAGCGCATCTACTGTACAAAATAATTGTAGTATGTTGGGTTGGCTAGTAATATAGAAAATGTAATTTAATAACTACCAATAACTGCAAGTTACGCGACTTAAGTTTAAAAAGTTGATTCAAATACTAAATGTCACAAATTTACGTTCATCGAAAGACAGACAGACAATGTCACAAATTTACGTTCATTCGAAAGACATACATACATACATACAGACAAACAGACAGACAGAAATAGCACATAATATTATGCAGAATCAAACATATTAGTTGTACTAATACATGTTTGGCAATGCCTCCAGTCCGATCTCCTCAAATAATTGGCCAGTCTCCACTTAGTCCTCGCTCATTACGGTCGGAGTAGATGGTGGACGAGGTATCGGGCTTTTTTGATCTCAATGTGTGTAAATCACTCAACGTTGGAATCCGACCTTTGCTGCAAAACTTTTGCGCATGGTGAAAATGGCATCGCTGGTACTACTAGAACTCACAAACAAAACTAAAGGCAAAGCGAATACGTCGGAAAATGTGCAATTGTCTAAAATATATAGAATTCTCTCCTTCTATTCGAGATTGCCCCACTACAAACAGAAACTACATACGCTATAGACAATGGAAAATCGCCACGCGTCATTTTTGTTACTCCCATCCGCTCAAATTCGCTTAGAGACTAGCAATATCGCTTCTGCTAACAATATTGTATATGATTTATAGGAACCGAAAAGGCTGATGATTCTGTGATGGCCTATTAGGAATTGGTTAGGTGATACGCCTCTGTCATCGCGACGAAGATCGATTTCGCGTCTTCGAAGAATTAAGCCAATCGGTATAGTTAAATTCAAATTGTACTTAATATTCTGCATCAAATTTTTTACACATTGGCAACAGTTACATTTAACGAAGGTGAGCATAGGATTCTTGGTTGTTGAGTTATTAATTATTGATGATGAAAATCGATTTCGCGTCTTTAAAGAATTAAACCAATCGGTATAGTCAAATTCAAATTGTACTGGGAGGATCGTCTTAAGCTGTCAGAGCGGGGGGTAGCAAGCAACCCTCTTACATTTTTGGGGTATCAATTTTATACAGTTATAAATTGATTTCGCGTCTTTGAAAAATTAAGCCAATTGGTATAGTTAAATTCAAATTGTACTTAGTATAAAATGGGAGAAAGCGATTTCGCAAATATGAACAATACATTATATAATCAGTGTATCGTACCTCACAATGATGTATATGATAACCTACTTTTGATTGCAACTCCATGTCGCTTTGCGAGCGTGGCTTTAATCGTCTATTAGTTGTACAGTTATAAATAATTGAGATGTTAGAGAAAGACATACGTAATCTTCCTCATTTGGGATAAATTAGTTCTCGTCACAATCGATAATTGGATCAATCTACGTTTACACGAATATTGAGATAAAATTATTGTTTAATAACACATCTTCTATATATCACTTGTAAATTAATGTTTCTATTTGTTATGCCATAAGAAGTTCTTGAGAGAATTCCAACGATCCGAGTCTAAATACAAGTATTGCATAGAGGCTTGCAATGATGGTTGTAACACACTTCGTTCATGGCGAAATAACCACATTACAGTTCCCCATGTAAGAGCAGCAAATACCGGGAACGTATGCATCGGTTCGTCCATCATTTTACGTTGGACCGGCATTTTGGCCAAGCCAATCATAATACGCGCAAAAACATACAAGACTATCTGTTTGAAGAAAAGCAGAGAGCTGAATTTCAGAGAGAATGTCGATATTATCAATGTCACTACAACATCTACTCACTTGTTGATTGATATTGTTGTTCTCTCCAAAAACAATATAACCTCCAACCGTACCAGCAATAAAAGAGTGACTACTTGTCTCTTGCCCAAACAATTTTTTTTGTAAATACATCAATGTCTTATATATGGTCACAAAACAGGCAAGATTTTGAGAATGTTGCCGAGTCGCTTTCAAGATGAACGTCAACTTATCCTTTAAGCTATAATAAAATGACAAGCATTCGAATTCGTTCGCTCCGTTAAATCTCAGAAGTCAACGTTTGTGTTTCAAAACTTAATCCGAATAGACAATACCCTATTTCTCCATGCATAAATACCTTCCCTCTCTGAACAGGAACGTCATCACGAATGCGTGTGGGAATCTAACTTTGGCCCCGTATACAGCCCCATTCCTTAGACCCTTTATTATGGCAAGGACGTCGTGGTATTCGGGCTTCATAATAAATTTTGTCGTTTCAGATAACACCATCGTGATGATCTGTTTATTAAAAGATAGTAATAGTAAAAAAGATGAAAGAAAGAGCGGAAATCTTTTAATTCGCTGATCGGCCAATCAGTGGGGACACCAGTTTTCTATGCGGAGTCTTCCGAATTATTGGATCGTCTGCAAGTCACGACGACAATCATACATTAATTGTGACAGATTAAAACGAAATCGGATTAAAAACGAAATTTTTTCTATTTTAGTATGAAAATTATAAAATTTTTTGGGGAATAATTTTTAGCCGTTTTTTAGGGAAAGGCTAAAGCGGAGCAGAACGTGATCCTGTATTTGCAGTTTTATTGGCTGCCATACAAATTTGACCAATGGAATTGCGAGAGATCTGCTCCGCTTTAGACATGCCCTGAAATTAAACCCCAGTCCACAATATGGGTTTAATGGTTATATTAAAAAAAAATAAGCCGAAGAAGTAAGTTGCAAAATACTCTCAATATATACAACTAAATTACATGCGATGTACTACTCAATTTAATGATACATTTCTACACTCTAAAATAGATATCGGTGCATGTTTACCAATTCGAATAATGTTAAATAGATTCAGAAAAGCTGCTCTTCCAGCTGTCGCAGAACGCGAACGTAATTCTTCCCACTTCTTTGAGCAACATAATAACCGTTTTAATAAAGTGTTCTTACTACTAATCAATATCAACCTGGCGTTTAAACTTGAGGATTGGTTGCCCATCAAAATATAAGACCAGGCGTCTTCGGTTCCTATAGAACAACGAAGCCTGCTACGATACGATTAATCCTTGTAATGACGAACAGTTGTCAATCGTATCAAATTTATCCAATAAAATTGAAAATTTTTGTATAACGACAATTGGTTGGACTTGCTTTTTGTCGTTATAAATTAAGTTTTCGATATAAGGACATTTTGATATAACGACCATTTAGGTTGGAACCGAGCGTGTCGTTATATCGAGACGCGCTTGTACTTGTTTATAACAGTATGATAATCACAATTGGTGGAAGATCGAATCTATGCAAACATATTAATATGCTGTACGACCATCAAAGTGTTGGAAAATTATTATTCCCACTGAAAATGTGCAGATCGATATTCGCATGATTCATACCACGCCAAGATCAATGACATAGATCAGATGAGACTGAGACTCATACACTTTGTTCCGCATCGTTGGATATTACTATCGTGGGCACGGACGCGGAATTGTGCCCTTTTACCACTATCTCTTAGCAGGGCAATAAACAGTCAAAGTTCAGAAAGCGACGATACTAATGCTGACCCGGAATCAGACACGACACAAAAGCCAATTATTCCCGTCGGAGAGCACGACGTAGCTATCATAAAGGACGATGTGACAGTTGAGAAAGATGCCTTACTACTCGATAGCGAAAAGGCACTTCAGGCTCGAACTAAAAGCATCCAATATAAATTACGAGACAAGGTTATTGAGTAATGAAAGCTTATCGTCATATTGTGATCAGTTCACGTCAACTCCCGCTTCTCTCATCCGAACCTAACATTATCCCGATTTTTTGTACCGATTTGTTCTTAACAAGACCAGACAGTTTGCCGACTTTGTTTGGGTGACAGTCAAAGGCGGTCGTGGCGGTGACGGATGCGTTGCATTTTTTCGCGAGAAATTCGTACCTAAAGGTCCACCTTCGGGTGGCAACGGTGGTCGTGGTGGAGATGTCATTTTCGTCACATCTGCTAATCATACATCGTTACACAGCATTCCGCGAACCATTAAAGCGAGTGATGGCGATTCTGGCAAAGGACATCATAAACATGGTCACGCAGGTAAAGATGTTGTCGTGCCAGTTCCATTGGGAACTGTCATACGTGAAGTTGACCCACCTGCCAAGACCGAGCGTAATGATTATGAGGACCCTGAAGACGAGCAAACTATATTAGAGAAGAAACGTGCGGCATTGTGGGTTCATTATCCACGTTACGAGGAAGCGAACCCACTCGGATCTTATTTCCTCGAAGCTGAGAGGATGGTGGAGAGAGAACAAAGATACCATCGATATGTACGTGAGAGAGAAGCAGACAGAAAGTTGTTTCTGGATTTGTCTACTCCGGCTGAGCAACATATCGTAGCGAAAGGAGGGGTAGGCGGTAAAGGCAACCCACACTTTTTGACCAGCGAAAATCGATCACCCAAATTTGCCACTCGTGGTCAGGAAGGGCAAGTGCGATATCTTACACTTGAATTAAAGACTATTGCTGATGCTGGATTAGTTGGTCTTCCAAACGCAGGCAAAAGTACTTTTCTGACTGCTGTATCCAATGCCCATCCTAAAATCGCGCCCTATCCTTTTACTACTCTAAATCCTTTCATTGGTACTATTGACTATTGCGATAGATTCCAATTAACAGTGGCTGATATTCCTGGGCTTATTCGCGGAGCACACAAGAACATTGGCTTAGGACATTCGTTTCTTCGTCATGTTGAAAGGTCCAAAGTACTTGTCTATGTAATCGATTTGGCAGGAGAGAGTCCTTGGGACGACTGGAATATACTTCAAGAAGAATTGGAAAAATATCTTCCTGGACTCACCAAACGGCCGTCGTTGATAGTAGCCAATAAGGTAGACGTAGTCGATGTTGCAAAGCGCAAATTGCCATTGTTTGAAGAAAGTGTAAAAGCGAATACGAACTACGAGGATACTATTGTTGTTCCTGTATCAGCAAAGTATCGGAAGAACATACTTAAAGTAACGACATTGCTGAGGCAGATGGTGGAGAAATCTTGTTAACGAGGCCTTTGTTGGGATGATAGGAGAAGGGTTTTCTACTTGTAAATAATAAAATTATCTTTTTCAACTCATAGGTATGATGGAATATGTTTATTGCGTTATGTGGTGTACTCTTCAACTACATGATTGCTTCTTATGCAATGGAGAAATAAATTAAGATCCTCTATTAGATAGTTTACGTGTTGGTATTAATTATGTAGATACACTCCCAGTTTCTTGTATAATAGTATATCGACTCACTTATTCAATCTCTCCATCCTTTGAATTTAGCTTCTTTAACAGCCTGCAAGTACAAGTCAACAAGGTGTTTACAATTCTGAAAATGATTCACGCCTTCCGTCTTATAACATTTACTCAAAGCATTTCCGATCAGACGGGCCTCCATGGCTTTTATCCACTGTTCACGAAGCTGACGTTCGCGTGCTTCCATTTGAGCTGGACGGTATGCAACGGCGAATGATGAGTATAGGATCCAAGACAAATATTAAATACAAAGCATATGACATACCTTCCATGTCTCGAGGATCAACCTCAGACGGCTTAGGGCCATCCATAGGAAATTCTTTGTGAGCAGGGTATTCCCAAGACGCCATGTTTTTGTTGATATCTTGGATTAAGAAAATCTGTTCAAAGTTTTACTGTATCTATTGCATGAACACGTGGTACAAAAAGTTGATCGGGTGATTGGCAATTGATAAAATTCATCTTTTCAACAGTTTATTAGACAAATAAAAAAAAATGAACTCTATAAGATCTTTTCAGCGACTTGGAACCTTTGTCGGAGGTATGCCGCACTATCATATAAAAAGTCGCTTCACTATAATTCTTACAAGGAACAACTCCTTTCTCGTCCAGCTACGTCTGTCAGAACTTCACTGTTGAGAAATGCTGCTGTTGTTCCCATGCTGATGAGGTAAACATTGGATTGCCTACTTGGTATACCTATGAAGTCCGAACCAAATCATATAAAGTAAAACATATTAACCTTTCACGTCGTTTCCTTCAATTAGAAGACAAACGTCAACATCAGCAGCGACTAACGAACATGAGCAGATTCTTCGACAACAGCGTGCTGTACGTCCGTTGTCTCCCCATTTACAAATATATCAGCCTCAATTAACGTGGTTGCTATCAATTGCACATAGATTCAGTGGTGCAGGAGTTGCTACTGGTAAAGGTTCGAATTGCATTTATTGTATAGAAATCAATTTCACTATTAATTCATTGTTTTTTTTAGTGCTTTACGGAAGTGCTGTAGCGTATGTCGTTGGGCCATACTTGGGTACTCCGTGGGATGCAGATACTCTTGTAGCGGCAGTATCTACGCTACCTCCGTCTATAGTTTTAGCTGGCAAAGCTTCCCTGGCCTTTCCATTTACCTTCCATACCTTTAACGGAATCCGACATTTGGTAATTCAACTTATCTTATTGCTACGAATTTTTGTTTGGGAACTAACATTTATTTATTTCACAGATCTGGGATACTGGTCGTAGTTTGACTGTAAAAGGCGTTTACACTACCGGGTGGGCTGTATTGATCAGTTCTCTAGTTTCTACGGCAATATTAGTTAATGTATAGTTATTTAAAAAATTTAAAGACAATCTGGTGAACGAACCCCAAACTTGAATGAAAGGGTTGACCCCCAAATTTAGACTCACCCCATAAATTTTCCATAAAATAAAGCTCAATTCTTACTCTTGAGTTTCGTTTGAGGTTTTTGATCAGTCAAAATGTTTTTTCTCGTAAGCTTTTCGGCCCAATATTATACTTAGCCGCCCATTCGCTTTTTCAAATGCTTCTCTCTGTTCTCATCGTGCTTGTCTCGTTCCTATAACGATTTTACAATCCAGAAGCGATTAACAAAAACTTTAAATCTCCATCCTTCATATTTCGGCCCCGACATGCACGAAAACTTGAAAAACCGCCTTTACGTTGACGTAGAGGGTACATGCACTGGTAGATATGGATACATAATCGCAGTAGTGAAGATAGAGAACTACTCCCAAGGGAAAGTCTTGCCATCTCTTGGACTTGCAGAGTTTACAATCACCTATATGGCAATCGTATTTAAGCCCTTCAGAGGCGAGGTTGTCGATGGAACAGTTACGCAAGTTATTAAGGTATGTTTGAAAATAGTAGTCGCTTGATTGTTGAGGATATGTGACTCAGATTCCCGAGGGATGATTCTAGATGGGATTCTTTGCAGAGGTTGGACCTCTCCAAGTATTTGTTTCCAATCATGTGAGTGTATATTCGTTATGGAACTTTAAAAGAATCGTTTTGTTATTCTAATCAAATTTTATGCTGAAAACAGTTGATTCCGTCTGAATATACGTTTGATCCGCATGCAAATCCTCCTGCATACATTGGAGAAGATCAGGTAAGAAATAATTCAATATCAAACTAGCATTTCCCATTCGGACGCTGACTGTTAATGTTTCTCCTTGTTCATAGCCAACTATTGAAAGGGGATCCTGTGTGCGAATGAAGATAGTAGGAACAAGATTTGATGCAACTGATATTGTAAGCTTATTGGTTTTGATTTGTCCTGGAAACCGTTTTTAATTACTCACAAGACTCTTGCGATTTTCTAGTTTGCAATTGGAACCATTAAAGACGATTTCCTTGGAGTAATTGACAGATAACGTCGTATAATAAATCTTTCTACGAAATAGATTAAATCAAGCAACTCGCGTCTGAGACACTAGTTGAAGTGTTTCTTTAATTCTTTCTACATAAGCAAACTGTCAGCCAAGGTTCTCTTGGACGCATTTATCGGGGATTCAGGACGAGAAATTGAAATTTTTGTTGTAACACTTTCCAAGCTTCAATTTAGACAGTGCTTGATACTTCTTCCGCCCAATATTCAAAAATTAGAATTTTGCTTACAAGACAAAATTTTCTAGTATAATTCTTCTTGATAAATGTCAAGGAATTACGTTCAATAAACAGATCAGCTTGTGTTAATTGATTCCTGTTAGCGAATTTCAGATACATGATAAATAGCCCGAAGACTATTTATTTACAATCTCATGTGCCACATTATTTGACTTTTGGGGTTCTTACGCAAGAAATCCAAGGCCGAGTTATCGTTATTATTATCTCTTAAGTATTACTTTTTCTGATTGAAGAAATCATCTAAATCATCCCATTCACCTTAAATGAGGTGGACATTTACAATGTAAACTGTTATTTTTGCTCAATGATTTATCAAGACCAGTGTTTTATAAACAAACAATAAAATAAATAATGAGGACATGTCGCGCGATTCGTTTGAAATTTGATTTTGACATGCGACAAGTTGATTGTGAGGGTCTTATCCCAAAAAGATAATTACCCATAGCATCGTACCTCGACGCTTTACATTTACTTGTTACAGTCAGTACTTTGTAAAATGTTTGTTGGCTTCATGTGACATCGATAATCGTCACGCGTTGACATATCAGGGTGTCCTCTTTTGAAAACCCACATATACTCTTCTGCTAACAAAAGTTACCCAGAAAAATTTAAATCAATTTCGTTTTGATCTGTTATACATACCTGCATAAAAGTTATACAATGATTAATAATAAGTCATACGCGTTGCTTATCGTTTAGTTAACAAATTTTATGTCTATAAAACATGCTCGTGTGTGCTTTAACTCAACATATGAAATGTATGATTTATTTATTATATTATATAACATTGTTTAACGCAGATCCGTCGTTTAGATCATCTTTTTTTTCAAAGACTACATTGATTGAACTATACCAATACCCAATTCTTTCTTAGTAAAAACTACCATTTATTCTGTATATTGTATTGATCCGGTTGATTTTCGAATGATAGAACGTTAATACATAATAAATAAAAAGAGCAGTTTTTGACACACTTTTCTGCAAAGGCTTTGAGATTAAAATAAATCGGATAAGCGCTGGTGTATATCTTGACTCCATCAGAGATGTTAATAGTGGGGAAAACTATAACTCAAATACCAATAAAGAGAATGTTGTATGCTCATGCTATTGTGCAATACTAAAGTTAAAGTGTCATGATGAGCAGAATGTTAAGAGTCTCGCCAAAAGCCTATGCCTCGTAAAAACTTAGCTAGACGCAAAAAATACAACAATCCAAAAATGATAAGATATTACCGCACAACGCATTTCAAAAATACTGTATGATTCGCATCCACGAACTTATATAAATAACCTGTTATTGTTATGCCCAGCCAAATGCGATTACTGCAATGAAGGAAATACATTTAGTAAATAAGGTTTCTTTTTAGTGATTGGGCGTTATTCCGCTCATCATGGCACGCTATAATTAATTGATATTTCACTTAGTAAGTGGTTTTTTATTTCATATATAAATTACGACTATGCGATGCTTTGTCTTGTAATATATACAGAATCCGCTTTGACGAATAGTCCGCGTTAACAGTGGAACGGTACACGTCATTAACTGGGTAGAGATATGGCACACGTGACACATCAGTAGAATTGTTATTCCTCTTCTATGTTTCTCAATAACAGTTTTACTTAATTATAACGCAATGATTGATAATGCATTTACTTATCAATCATTGACCAGAATTATAAAGCAGAAATGTACAAATAAATATCGCACAAATTGTCCTTCTATATGTCTAATTGCGTGTAACTATTCTGGATTATATTTTCACCCTACCCGAAATCTTAGCGTCACCATAACTCGATCTTTTTTTCAAATGCTTTTCGTTCTCTCGTCTCCCAGTAATCACCGCTGTACACCCACCCATCATCCTTTAGCTTAAACCACTGGGGTTCCCATTTCTGACCTGCTTTTTCCAAAAACTTTCTATATTCTCTCTGTTTCTGTTCTATTCTTAATTTTTCTAATTCTGCATTCTCTACGTCTCCTTCTTCAAACAGACGTTGGTCTGGTCTCCACCTCGTATCAGTATTTGGTAGATAATCTTTAATGTCATCGGTCAACTCGTTCAGTTCTATGGCGTATTGAGTGAATCCATAATATTGTTCATGATCTGGTGGTGGTTTGCTTGCTTTCCATATAACTTCTAGTTGGTTGGGTCCTATTTCGTGGTACACGACTTCATTCCATTTACCAGAAATGCTACCCACTTTCTTCTTATTCGAATCCAAGAGCACTCCATTGATGTCATTTTTCGGTCCGTTACTAAACATGCCACTCTGGTAAAAAGTAATCTCGCACGCTTCACCCGTTGTGAGGTTTTCTACACGCATTACTCCTGCATGTTCGAGATATTTATTTGACATCATATTGCGAATCCACGTCGATGGTTTGTTGAAGCTGAAATGGTCTCCATGTTTCGGAATTGATATGTTTACCTTTCCGAATGATATTAATTCCTATTAAAAGATAACTGATCAGCGCACTTGTGCGTGCACACGCATATATCTTTATAACGATACTATAGAAAAACCTACCATAGATTTACCTATGATCAGAATCTCATTAGTAATAATCCTACTATTAATATCAATTGTAGATCCAGCAAAGATGTCTTAGTGACTTACCCCAAAACTTTGTCTTCAACTTCGAATCTTGCCAAAAGACCCAGTCTTCTGCTTCAGCGTGACACTAATTTTATGAAAATAAGCCAATATATCTACAATCATAAAACAATCTTCACGTAGTTATACTTACTGCCATTATTGGTGGATGATGACTGACTTTCTCAGAGATAAACCTGAAGCCTATAAATCGGAGGAAATTAGAGCGAATAGTTCTTGTTCATGACAATGCGTATCTAATCGTAAACAGTTTTTCTTTTATCAAACTACGCACCTTTGTCTTGTCGTAAAAACTCATACGTCTCACCATGCAATGGATTAAATGGCTTTCTTCCAATCCTATACTGTGAAGATGCAAAACCGCTTACAGCAAATGCTGCAACATGTATCAGTCTATCCATTGAGTTACTTAAACTGGCTGCTTTATGTAACAAATCACTATATTCCAACTCTTCAGCAAGCTTCTGTAGAAGATTTATAGGCTCATTCAAGGATATCGGCATAGTAATGGTAGATAAATCTTTCCCCACATTCTTCTTCAGAATAGATAAGAAACTAACAGAATCTCCACAGACTGGATACGGTAAATTCTTCCGGCGCTGAATAGTCATCGAATCAATAGCAGCTGGTGCATTGATCTCTGTCAATGGCCCAGTGATGTCCTCTTGTTCTGCATCAGTCAATTCTTCTGCTTCGCTCTCTTCTTCGATAACTTCAACAATAGCTTCATCAGCATCACTATCATCTTCGTCTTCTGTATCATGACTAAGTACTATATCTTCAGCATCAAAAAAGATTTCGGAATTAGAAGTCAATGACTGTGCACGGTAGCTGGCGTCCTCTATTGACTCGAATTTGTCGGTGCTAATGTCATTTGCTGTCTGTTCAGAATCGGTTGGTTGAAGTTCGGAATAATATTTTCGCAATTCGTCGTGTTCAGTTACCAATTTGCGGTAGGCATTATCAATTGCTTTCCACTTATGTGCTTCGGAAGCAAAAAATTCAAATAGTTGATCCTTGTCACGTTTTAGTGATTCATAGGTCGTATTCAACTTTTCGTGCAGATCAAAAGTGCCCAGATTTGGGGGTGTTGGTGAAGTTGGAGATGGCGCATCCGTCGAACTAGTATCTAGTCAGATCAAAAGAAAAACAGTTAGTCATAACAACTAAGTGTAATATACGCAACGTGTATCCGACTTTAGTAATAAGACAGAGAAGAATGTACTCACGTCTTCCAAGAGAAATAAAAGGTTTCCTTATTCTAAACTTTTCATTTGTCGGAGTATGTGCTCTTTGGATATTAGGTGAAGGTGGGTTATCAATTGACATCTTTAGTGCATCTAATACCTCCTTTACTGTATTTAAACTATTATCCATGCTAGAAGAAAATCCGCGTATTTTGGCCAATTCTTCGCCGGTTTCCGTTCTTATAAATATAGAATCTCTATATAAACTCTGTCGCCTATCAATTATGCTCTGTCTTTTGTACAAGCTTGCTCGCCTAGACAAATCTATGGATTGACGAGGCGAAGTGATACGTGAATAATCAGGATCGAATAGTTGACGTTCCTTTGAGAGATTAACATATTTCCTAATGACAGCCATCCATTTATCAAAGTCTTCATTAGTCAGTGTTTTTAAATGATATGTAGCTGTTCCAGAATCCATATGTATTGAACGGAAAGCACGATTAGATGATACAGTCGATAGTACAATATATATTGTTCCACGACAAGGACTGTAAGGATGTTGATAATATGAAAGAATGCCATCCTCAATTCGTACCCAGCGCTTGGCCCAGCCTACATCAATCAAGTACATAAATGAGCACGCTTTTATAATTGAAATAAAATCAACCAGTACGTACCTTGCATCTTTTTCCGCTTCTTCTTTAACATCCAACCAGATATATCCGATTTAGATGTTTTCACCTCGTCTTGAGATCCTTCTAAATTAATAGACATTAGCGTGGAGATTTACATAGATTATATCTCGGAATACTAGTAAAGCCCCGCTTACCATCTCTCAAAGCCACGAAGAAGGTGAGCAGTTTTGATGTTTTTCGAGAGAAGGAATTGTCTTCATGAAAAAAAAAGATACATTGTTGGTTTAACGCCTTCATAATCAACAG